ACGTCATGGGGGGGGGGGAGGATTGCCTGGCACAGAGATGCAGCCACCTCTGGGGGAGCAGGCAGGCGAACGCCCCAGGGACCCAAACCCAATGGTGGGGATGCGAGTGCTCACCTGGCAGTTGGCTCCCAAGGGCCCTGTCTGCAGCAGGCTCCCCCCAGGCTCAGGCCAGCACTCCCACCCGGGCTCAGCCCGCCACCCCCCTCAGCTCACCTTCTCGAAGTCGATGGGGTACATGCGGAAGCTCTGCAGGCCCTCGGGGCTGGGCAGGCTGGATTTCAGCTCCTCCTGCCGGTGTAGTAATAGAGCTGTCAGATTTGGATCAGCCCATACCGGAGATAAAAACCAGCTGTGAAATTCAAATACAAAACTCCACCATTGTTTGGTTCAGGCCTATCACTAGACAACACTAACCTGGAAAATAATAGGGCAGTTTGGGGATTCCAGTGCTCCTACCATATAACCCATAACTAGAGCCAGGATTACAGGGGGCCTTCCTGCCCCACATTATGGGTTATACAGTCTTGCCTCAGTTTACCCTCCTCAGAATCAAGCTTTTAGTTCCCGAGCATCTTTCCCTCAGAAAAAAACAAAACAAACTTCCTTTCATTGTTCTCTCAACTCAAATCACCTTATCCTAGATTGGGGTGTATCTGTACTAGCCTCCTGGAATATATTGATGTAAATATCTAGTGCTTAGTATTTCTTAGGAGTGCCTGTGTTTTAGCAACACTAGCAGCAGCTTTGCCAAGTTCACGTACCAGACCGTGAACGTGTAGGCCTCTGCCCTAGTGCCTGGCTTGACTTTGGTTCACAGCCTGTGGGGCAGGCTTCAGGTCCTGCACTAGGCCGGAGAGCTCCAGGCTCTCTGCCACTCTCTGCTAAAGGACTTCTCTCCCTGTCGCTGCTGGCCCCATCAAGTTCCTGTTGACGTGGGTATGTGGCATCTTTAAGTCCGGAAACTGATGAGCGCTGTGGAAGTGCCACAGTGGCACCCCCCATTCGGGCTCCCGGTTCCACTTGAAGGAGTTGTGCCTTTGCTACCTCAAGCCACAAAACAAGAGTGATGCCTTTTCTACACAGGAGGGGTCAAAAATCAACTCTCACGGCCCCTCGCGCCAAAACCGTAATTGTGTCGCTACCAAACCGTGTGTAGATGTACTCGTTTCAGGGGAGGAAACAACAAAAAGGAGCTAATTTCGTTAGCTAAGTTGGTCAAAGTTTTGCCATCCGTCACTTTTATTCAGAAAGAAGAGTGGTCACACAATGATTTGAGCCAAAATAACCCAACTGACTTCTAGAAAATAGGTTTTGTTCTATTGGTACAAGCTGATGGATCATTTGATCTCTGACTGACATTGGTGTGATTTCTCAGCACCCACACTGGCATTATTACTCTGCATTTCTTTGGCTAAAACAGAGATCCAGAGAATCAGGCCTCCCAAAATCCCAAAATTGTTTCTTAAAGATTGAGATTTTAATTTATTTTTCTCCAGCTTTTAGGGCTCAGGGGTTTCAAAGTTTTCTCCGTGGCTGCAAGAACTAGAAATGTATTTACAAATGAAATCAGATGATCCTGTTATTACATGATTCCCACAGATGGGGCTTGAAGGCAAAGACACCAAATATCAAGAGACTCATGCTAAAATTACAAGAGTTGTCCACACTGACAGCGGCTGGCTTACCTCAGCTGCAGTCCCTTGCTGTCTCTTCTCATTCTCGAGGCAGGATATGCCATTACATTAATGTGCAGTGGTTCCCTCACAATTGCTAGATGGGGTTCCCGAGAGAGACAAGAGCCGCCTTTCTCTAGGAACAAGCAGGCTCCAGTTGCCTGGAAACTATTCCTTCCTTTAATTAAAAAGGAAGCAAGAAAAGCCAAGTTTCAGAGCCTGCTTCCTCCTCCCCAACTCCCCATTTCAGGGCTAGAAAGAGACTGGTTTTGGTATGAGCGCTTGTCCTATTCTGTCCCTACTGGGAGGGGCTGCAAAGACTCTGGAGTTTGGTTTCCCTTCTTTTTCCCCGTGCTGGCCAATGATGAAAGTAGTTCAACAAACAGCAGGCTGCTGTCTAAATTGAGTGGTGCTCGGAGGCAAATAAATCCACCTGAAAGCGCAAAACCCACTAAGAGGAGCTCTGTCACATTACACTAATGAGCGCTAGGTGGTCCCTGCGCCCCTCACATATACGCACACAGAGCGAGAGCAAAATCTCACACCTGCTCCACAGCAACAGCTCTCCCCACGTGAGTACAGACATTTTGAAATAGGGGAAGAATGGCTGAGCAATGGCACATCCCCTGAAATGAAGTGGGCAGGGGGATGCAGTGTGTGGGACTCCGGCATGATCAGCACCAGACCTCTCCCTCTGTGCACACTGCAGACACTGCTGCTTAAGGAACTCTGGGAAGGGCAGCAAGAGAACCCCACCAGATGTAGTACTGACCCCCCCCAAATGCCCTACTACTTCAAGGTTGGGGGGGATGGGAGTCTATTGGATCCTTTTGCCGGCTCCCTCCCCACAGCATACACCCGGCTAGCTGCCTCAGAGCAGCCCGGGAACACAGTGAATCCAACCAGGATGGAAGGGAGGGGTGTACTGACTGAATATGCTTCTACTGGAATCGGTGCGGGCTGTGAGAGCTCAGAACCATGCAGGATGTGGGTGTGTGTGCAAGGGAATGTAGGGGGTGAGTGGGAGGAAAGAAATGGGCCCCTTCCCGCTGAAGTGCCGTAAACAGGATAACCTGTCCTACCAGCTGCAGAGGGTTGGACGTGGCTCCTCAGAGTGCCACCTAGGGCTCGGAAGAATGGGCCCCGTGGTGAGAACACCCATTGCCTTCCCAATGCTCCCAGGAATGCGTGGCATGGCCGCTGCATGGTCACGTGAGAGCATGTTGGGTTCGCCCCAGCCTGCTGCACTGGGCTGGCACCAGTGACACCTGCCTGACGCACCAGAGCCTTGGCCTGTGATTTCTCGGGCGGGTCCTGGCTGGAGCTGTAGGACTCCGTCAGGAAGGGGATCACCACCTGGACGTTGCCCTTGGTGCCCAGCGTCCCTGACTCCAGCAGCGGTTTGCGGTAATAGACGCACCGGCGATCCATGTACATCCCTGGCAGACGGGCACATGGAGTTAGCACCAGCAGGAGGGAGCAGGGGACCTCAGGAGCACAGCAGTGGGGGGTTGAGACAACTTGCCCGGTACTGAGAAGCAGCTACCTCTGGGGCAGAGCCCCTTGGGAACAGCCACATGTAACGCAGCACAGGAAGGGCTTGTGTGGGGCTGCGGGGGCCTGGGGAAGGCCCCACCCACGCATCACTCACTGGCATCCACGTTGTCCAGAGCATTGGCCACACCGTCCAGGCCCTCGAAGAAGTCGTCGTCGTAAACCCGCTCCGTGTCAGGCCCCACACGGTCCTGGTGGCTCGTGATGTGGATACTGGGGTTCATCTGACGCACGGCACCTGCCGCTGTGTCAGACTTCATTTTCTGGGGGACAAGGGAACCCCGTTTAGCCGGAGAGATGTCCTGGCTCCCAGCCCCTCCTGCTCCAACTGGCGAGACCCCACCCCACTCCGAGCCAGGTAGAGAACCCAGGCCCCCCACCCCCCAACTCCCCTCCCAGCACCCCATGACATCCCAGGGCCCACAGACCCCGCCCCCCAGCTCCCTTCCCCTCGCACCGTGACGTCCCAGGGCCGGAAGAGGAACTGGCGGTTGAGGTTGGATTTCTCGATGGTGTCCATGTCGGTCACCGTCACCTCCCCGCCGTCCCCGCAGGCCAGCCCCAGCATGGCGAAGTTCTTCAGCAGCTCGCAGCCGATGGCGCCGGCGCCCACCTGGGCAGGGGAGACACAGGGTGAGGGGGCAGCCCTGGGGACAGTTCCAGGAGCCCAAGCTCAGCAGCCTGCAGCTCACGGCTCTGGTTTCCCCCAGCGTATCAGCCTCAAAGGAGCCCGGATCATGCTAAGCGGCCCAGCCCCTCGACCCCACAGCCAGACGGGGGCCTGAGAACGCGGGATGCTGTCCAGCGCCGCACCGGGACCCGGACTAGGCACGTGAAGGGGTAACCAGCGGGGCTGGAACAGCCTGTCAAGCCAGTTCGCCCACAACACGGGATTTTACATCCCAAAGCCGGGCGGCTCCCCTCAGGGCCAGGCTGCGGGGTCTGCGTGGGGCTCGCCGTGGGGCTCGCCGCGGGGCCCCGCAGTCTGGGCTC